CACCTGCAGGAATCCAATACCAAATGTACAATGAGCCATTAACGGTGGTTTCTGAACTGCAACATATTGGCATCACCTTGACCGACAACCTGGATTTCCGCAAACATGTCGCCTCAATAACTTCGAAGTTCAGATATCGAGTGCACCTACTGTCAATTATGTCCCAGCAACTTACGCCTTCGGCAATGATCATACTGTACAAAGGGTTCGTAAGACCTGTGATCGAATATAGCTGTACGGTGTGGTCGTTTGGATCTAATAAGAAACCCATGACCACTCTTGATCAATTACAGGCAAGGTTTGCTAGAGCTCTACTGAAAAAGAAAAAATTCCATTTGATTACACTTCTTCCAAATCTGTCTTAAATTCTAAATGCTCCCTAGAGTCACTAGCCTATCGTCGTCAAATCATCAGTCTCACTACTTTTCACAGATATGTTTTCCATCATCGTGATTACCTTGCTGATTTCCATTTCAAGGTTACGAATAGTGAGCGACAACCAAATAAAATCATTCTTCCCAAATTTAAATCATTGTCTAAGTCTCTCTTCATGTTCCGAACTGCTATTCTATGGAACTGTTTAACCCCAGTCTAACATCGGAAGCCTCGCTCTATAAGTTCAAAGCTGCCCTCAGGAAATTTACAGCTGACTATGCTTATGCAATCAACGGAATTCCGCCACCTTGCAGTTGATTTTCCCCATTTCTCTCCTCATCAATCCCTACTTCTCTTTGTACATACATCTACATCTACTGTTCTTTCAATCAAATGAACCCCTCGATAGGCACATTGCCTTTGGGTCATTTCATAATAATAATAATATTAATAATTTGATAACCGCAATCAATAAAACTAGCTGAACCGACATTTGTGTACTTTATTCATGCAATGTAAAAAACGGTGGAGACGATGTGCAATAAAACGATGAAAATATGAAGAAATGGTGTAGGGAAAAAATATGGATTCAAACAACCTTTGTTCATTTCTCGCTTTGATTGTTAAAATTCACACTTGTAAATTTCACTGTTGTTGCTCTTAGTGTTATTTCTCTAGCTTAGATTTTCTATAATAGTTCAATTTTTGTTTCAGTGTCCTTTAGTACAACGACGATTCCTGATGAGTGTTGTACGAAAACTTGTTTGAATCCATATTTTTTCCCTGTACCATTTCTTCATATTTTCATCGTTTTATTGCACATCGTCTCCACCGTTTTTTACATTGCATGAATAAAGTACACAAATGTCGGTTCAGCTAGTTTTATTGATTGCGGTTATCAAATTGTTGTCTCCTCGCCGTGTGTTTAAATAATAATAATAATAATAATAATAATTGTACAGATGCACGAAATCCCGTATAATCTTGCAGAATCCCGTAGACCTGGTTGGGTGTTGAATGTGCAGGACCCTATTGTGTTTACTGCTATTTCCACTATGAAATGGGCCATGAAGGCATTTCATACGAAATCTTTTTCCGGCAGAGATCTAGCTAGTCGTTAGTTCAATCCCAAAGTGAAAAGCTTGAAAAGTGATCGTTTGCCATGAATTGTGAGGCTAAATGGGTCAAACGCGCATGTATAGCACACAATGAACACCCAACCGGGTATGTACACACCTACGGCCATAGTACAGAACTTCGTACATCTGTACAATATGCATAAGGACTATTTCGATGACGCGGGGGAAGTACCTTTCACACACCTGAGAAAACAAACACCTTTCACACACTTCAGAAAACAAACACCTTTCACACACCTGAGAAAACAATACCTTTCACACACCTGAGAAAACAAATACCTTTCACACACCTGAGAAAACAATACCTTTCACACACCTGAGAAAACAAATACCTTTCACACACCTGAGAAAACAAACAACTTCCACACACCTGAGAAAACAAACACCTTTCACACACCTGAGAAAACAAACAACTTTCACACACCTGAACAAACACCTATTATTATGAAAATGAGGACAGCCCATTGTAGTCTTATTGATTGTGGGTACATTTAGTATGCGCGAACACTTGAAAATGCGGTCACTTGTGAAATGCGAAATGGGGACACTCTCTCGTATGCCCCACAGAACTGCGTTGCACTGATCTCAGCCTGACAAAGGCAGACATACTGACTGGGATACATGATGTCCTGCACTCTGATGTAATTGTATGATATTTGGACTGCAGTATCGTACATACATGTACATATCATACAGTTGTAAAGGGTATCCCCCTCCCCTCGAGATATCTAAAAGCGTAATCATGTGGTGACGAGAAGCATAGAAAACTATTGCGTATGGCCAAAGTTGAAAAGAAACTTTGTGCAGCGCACAATGGACCTTATTTGGATGGTAAGGTCACTCTGCCCGGCTCCGCTATTGAGACAGAACATCAAACTAACCACAGCAATGTCGGGCGCTGACGAAATGGCTGGTCAGAGTCATTGTCTAGTCCGTTCCTTAAGCCTAGTTCACATTCGACGGGGCGGGACGGGACGCGACGTAAGGATCGACGGGACGGTCTGACGGCGTCCAATGTGAACACCAGGAACGGGAACGCAACCGTACTACCGTACAGATCGGGAAGCGACGGGAAGAGTTGGATGGATCCAACTTTTCATACCGTAGGCGGGCGTAGACGGGGACGTAAGCGTACAAAACGGCTGCAATTCGAGTGTGAACAGGAGACGGCGTCGTGCGCCGACTAATTCCCATTCGTACTTGGAATTATTTAGCATTCCGAACACTGCGCTTCCCATGATAACTCACAGAATGGCTAGCAGGACTTGAGTTAAATTTTAGCAACAAAAGATCACATGTCACTTATTGTATTTAGGGATAGTTTAGAAGCGTGACAGACGAACTATTCTATCATTTCCTGGGGCTATTACTTGAATGCCACAACTTTCAGGGCTAATTTTTTGGTCTTCATGAAAACTGGTATTGTGAACTTGATTCCGCTTCTTTCAAGGAGAAATAATTGAAAAGAAGTGCCGAAAAACGAGAAATTAGTTCCGAAAGTCACCCCGTCGCGGACCGTGCCTTATGACTCGCGCCGTTTGACGTTGAACGTCGCTACGACTGCTGCATGTCGTGTCGTACGAATCGTACAGGATTTTACAGCTCACCCCAGCCCTCCCGACAAGCCCTTTCGTCCCGTACCGTCGGCGTTGCGTCGAATGTGAACTAGGCTTAATTTTCATGTACAGCTCTATGCACAGTCGGGTCACAAACGTAACAAAGGCAACAACACAGCTTGTAACAATGGACGATCGATCGAAGCTCAATGAAAAAATTCCATGACGCACTGGCTAAATGAGTCTGGCAGATTTCAGCCGTGCTCTATTGAGCTGGAAGATGCTCGGCAGAAAAGGAATGGGATTTAGACGAAGCCTTGGAAAGGCGGAATTTTTCTGCATGTTTTCGGCTGTCTACGTAGGTGAAAGATGTGCAATGTGAGAGTGGCATTATAGTGGTCTAGGATGAGCAGGCTGTTTGTGCTTAGGAAAAGCCACTGCACTCTCAAGGGAGAGTGACATAGTGGAGATAAGGGGAAGACTTTGAGGTGAGATTCTCAGTATGCGTACATTATTATACTAAGGGAGTTGTATGTGCGTGGACAGCACATGTGCTTTAGCAGTTGTGTGTGTTCATGTGTGGTGTCATTCCCAGCATCATGGTGCACACTATAGATTTCATGTACTGGTACATGAAATCTATAGTGTGCAGCTGCTGACTATTTCTGCATGGGTGTCTGTCCGTGTCCAATTTGCCTGGTACAGATGTGCCTGGTCCCAACTTTCCCACTCACAACGTGCTAGGGTCCAACATTCCAGGGCCAAAGTGCCCGGTTCCCACTTACCCTGTCCCTACGAGCCCAGGTCCGACTTGCTCAGGTCCAACTTGCGCGGGTCCAAAGGGCCCGGGTCCATTGTGCCCGGTCCCCACTTGCCTGAGTACAACGTGCCCGGAATAGGATACTGTGAAAACAGAATTTTTCGGTGATGTTCTATTTTCGGTCACTTCGGTACCGACAATTTTTACCGAAAATAAAACGCGCCGAAACTTTCGGTACTACCGGTACTGTATACATTTAGTACTAGTACACTTACCTGGAAAACGGGTTTTACCAAAAATTTCCCTCCACCGAACCGCCGGTTTTGGAGAATACCAAAAATATTCGACCACCGAAAATTTCTGCTTTGACAGTAGTTCTAGTGTAGTAAAGAAGATTTTTTCCAACCGTTCTGCTACCCGCAATCAGCTGAGAACTTGTGACTAGGCAACCGTTCTGCTACCCGCAATCAGCTGAGAACTTGTGACTAGGCACAAAGGGTACAGTCATAGCCACGGGTTTTCGGGTTTTCGGGTTTTCGCCACTTGTACCAGTGGTGTTGACTTGTGAGACTTATCCCCTCGACCCCACTCTTAGGCGCTGCATCTTCCACCAAATTTACCGGGCGTTAGCGGCCGTCGTGAGTTCCCTCTGGAACGTACACAATAATAGGTATTCATTGGTTTGAGGGAAAGATACAAACGGGAAAAATCTGAAGAAAAACTCGAAGGACTTGAGGCAGGGACCTTCGATTCAGGCCAGAGATGCTCTAACCACTGATAATACATGTGTAGATACATCATCCGAAAACCGAAAACCAGGCCAGTGATGTCCAGCATTCGAGTGTCAAAATTATAGATACGTTTTTATGGATAAAGGGAGAAGGACGAAAGTCGTACGAGTTATGACTAAAAATCCACCAATGTAACCAGGTCTTCTTGTCAGTTTTGTGCCATCCTGTCGCACTCGCTGATGGTATAATTATGATCTGGTTACGTTGGTGGAAAGTTAGTCATAACTCGTACCATTATTGTCCTTCTCCTATTTTTCTATAATTAAATTGGCTCACCCTCCGAGTTATTGTTTTTCTGTGCTATGAACGCTGACTGCTTTTCTCGCTGTCTTCTCGCTCGCTGCAGGCTGTGCGTAAATAGACATAGCTGGGTGACGTCGTATTGATGCCAGTTATAGCTATAGACCAGATTGGGGTTGGCAAGGCCATTGCTGCAGCTATTGCCGCCGGTGAAGTGACCCGGGAGGAGCTGTTTGTCGTGTCCAAGGTATGTTTGTGTGTGTGTGTGGGGGGGGGGGTGCTGTGTGTGTGCTGTGCGCGCGTGTGTGTGTGTGTGTGTTTATGTCGTTACATCAGTCTCGTAGTCCTTCAAGATGACATCATACTGTACTTGTATCATTACATCATTGTGTTTGAATCGTTTGCAGACAAATCGCCTACACTCAACTATGCACTGGATGTCACGAAAAATCCAGTATTTTATCAATATTTCAGCTACCGTCACCATCATCAGGAAAACATTGAGAATATACTAGATTTGTGTGCAATGCAGTGCATGCATGAGTGTAGGTCAGGTGCCTGCAATTGTTCCAGTTTCAACAAGCTGCATTGGCCATCCTTTATACATTCACATCACAGTCTATGTTGATTGCTTAGAAGCATACAGTACTTCCTACATTTACAATTATTCTTCCATGATCCTTGCATGGCGCCACTACACACTGGAGAGTAGCTAGACCAACACTAATTATCAGTAGTCTTCATTGTTTCCAATACAATACTGGTGTCGCTATGCTTCTTTTGCGATAGGTCCTTGTGCAGTTGTATGGACTTATCTTCACTGCAATATCAGTTTCATGCTCCAATGCTTCCTTTGTAGCACTGAGGTGTGCTGCGAGTAATCAATGGCATTTCCAGCTTGCTTGCTACACTTTCACATACTCTCTTTAGCTGTTTTGCTGCCTGCTGCTTGTTTCCCGGAATAGACACCAGCTAAAGCTTCCTAGCTGGCCCTCTTGCCAGAGTCCTTGTTAGATTCTGTATAAGTTCTCTAGTTTGTATCTCATACGTTGTTGATTGAGTAGAGGCCTTGCTAGAGAACAGTTAGATATTGCTCTATGGTCATCCCTAGTTTCCTTTGGAGTTCAAACAGCTCAGATCTCTGTGTGAAGACTGTGTGTGAGAACGGGATATTTGTGAAAGGGTCGGGCTTGCGCCTTCCGAACAAAACTGGTAGCAGAGGATGGTTCGCGAGTAGATCCTAGACCTTTTGTTTCGTAGTCAACAGTGACTACATTTTCGGCTGTGGGTTTGGACGCCATCAGTGCTTGTCAAGCAATGGAGTCAACAACAGTCGACTTTGGCGGTGTACCCACCAATGACGAATTGAAAAGACAACTACCTATTGAGAAGGCGGTTTCAAAGCGAGGCGTTACCAATCGACGGAAACGCCTGCGTGAGCATATCAACGCGATGTCGGCAGAGAGGGTTCGTTCCACCACAGAACAACTTCGGCTGGAAGGGAACCACGTACGTTCGATACTAGAAATGCTAGAAGAACTGTACACCCACATAAATGATCAGGACGGAGTCCGAGCGACTCAAGAAGAGATGAATGTATTAGAAGAGGAATTAAGAAGAGCTGAAGAAGAAGCTAACGAATTTCTGGGATCATATACTTCGTATAGTGATTGCCAGGAGTTGCAACACATGCAACCGCATTATGGAAATCCTAATGATGCATCTGCGCAGGCTGAGTGATCGAGTTTGACCAGCGCAGGATTGTCAGGCATATGCTATGCTAGTCCACATCCTAATACCAGCAATGCCCAGGGTAGTGTTGGCATGTCGGGTTTCTCCACTGAAATTGAAATGGAAAGTGCCACTTGGCCAATGCTACCACCACTGATTCATTCATCTATTGATACCACTCAATCAGTGGTCAGCACCACTGAGCATAGTGTGACACAGGCAGGCCGTGTAACAAATGTGTCACGAAGTACTAGCTGGACCTCTGCATACATGTACACTGACAGTGCTGTGGTACCCAATGCAGGTACTGGCTCTTCAACTGGGACTAATGAGTAATGGTGAAGTGCAGTCCAGTGATGGTAATGATCATGTAATGGTAACACCGTCAACAGAATGGATGCAACCAATGCCTACAATCAATGGTGCTGTTCAACAGCTGAGCCCCAGTATACAGGCCATAAGTCTGAACAATGGAAATAATGTCTATGGGAATCAAGTGGCACATCAATCGTCAGTGATCAACTTGCTGGAGTGGGTCACAAGGGAAGCTGAGTACAGAGCACTGGCAAGTGAGACCAGACAAGGTGTGAGCAAACCAAAACCACAGATGCCTCAGCAAGCAACAATGCGGCCTCAGACACCACCACCCACGACAACATCTCAACAGGTGGGAGCCTCGACCAACCACAACACATGGCCGAATGTGTGTAGTAACGAACTCCACCAACAGACGGTGTTGGCCAGTATGCAATGACGACAAGCACAATGTTTGGGAGTGTGCAACGTTTAAAGAGATGAGCATCGCACAGCGCTCGGTAATAGCGAAGAACGAAAGGTTATGTTATGGGTGCCTGAACAAAGGCTACATGGTGACGCAATGTCAATGGCAGATCACGTGCAACAGAGATGGATGCAAGGAAGTACACCATCAAATGCTCCATGCTGATTCAACTAGCACTACCGCCTCAGAACCAGCACAGCCAGTGCCGAAGCACACAACTTGGAAACCCAAGCCAACACCCAGACGCCGTCGGAACAATCCAACAGTTGGCCTCACAGTCACATCGCACGATCCATGTGAAGAGGTGGCAAACTCCATGGAAGGGGAGCAAGATGCTTTCACAATAGCCCATGCAATCAGTGCAACGATTGGGTTGCGAACTGTGCCAGTAATACTCAAGAATGGAATCAAAGAAATGCAAGTGAATGCCTTGCTTGATGATGGTAGTACTGGTACATTTCTCAACAGCAGCATGGCTTTGGAACTCGGGTGTAATGGTCCTCCAGACATATTGAGAATCAGCATGCAATCAACATGTTCAATGGTCAGCAATCCTCCTTCCCATCCATGCCAGTGAGGGTATCGATCAAAAGTTTGGATGGCAATGTTGAGGCCACAATAATGGCACAGACAGTGGACAATGTCGTAGGGCAAATGCCTATTGTCGACTGGAACCGCCACACTCACAGATGGAAGCACTTGCAGGGAGTCCAATTCCACATCATCAACCATAAGAAGCCGGTTGATCTTCTGATCGGCCTGGACAACGCACCGTATCACGTGGCAAAAGCAGAAATAATAGGCAACGAAGGAGAACCCATTGCTCGCCTAACAAAGCTTGGATGGACGTGCGTTGGCAATTCGAACCCAGGAACAACACCACGAATCAACACTGGCCAATCCTTCCTGATCAACGGCATCCGAGCATCGAGCAATCCAGACCATGAACTAAACGACTTAGTACGGAGGCTCTGGGAAATCCAAGAGATGAGCCCTGCCAAGGCCTAACAGCTGGATGACGATGAACGGCAAGCTGTAACATCAGTACAGCAATCAATCAAGTCACCGTGATACAGATGATACAGATGATACAGATGATACAGATGATACAGATGATACAGATGATACAGATGATACAGATGATACAGATGATACAGATGATACAGATGATACAGATGATACAGATGATACAGATGATACAGATGATACAGATGATACAGATGGGAAATACACTGTGGGTGTAACATGGAAGTCAGACCCGGCAAAGCTACAGAGCAGCTACAACATGGCGACTAGGTCACACCGAGAAACGCTTGCTGAATGTCTGCAACACAGTACAGCAACACAATCAATCGCTACCGAAAACTTGGATATATCTCAGAAGTAAAACCGGACGACAAGCAAACCGGATGGTATCTGCCGCACTTCCCAATTAAACAAATGGGCCGGGAAGCGACGAAAGTGAGAATTGTATTTGATGCTGCAGCACAAGTCTCAGGAGTATCACTAAACAGTGCCATCAGTCCCGCACCCAAGCTTCAACGCAACTTAACAGAGGTACTTCTTCGGTTTCGGAAGGAACCTGTGGCAGTGGTCTGTGATATTGCAGGAAGGTGTCTACAGATTGCCATTCCAGAGACAGATCGAGCATATCACCGATTCCTATGGCGAGAACCAGGATCAACACAACCGCTGACGGTATACGAAGTCAACTGAGTGGTCTTTGTCAGCACCTCCATTTCTCGCCCAGTACGTAACACAAGAGCATGCCAGGCAATGTGCTGATGATCTACCACTGGCTTCCGCAGCAGTTTTGAATTCGAACTACATGGATAATACCATGACTTCAGCCAGTGATTATGATGAAGGCAAGTTACTACACTCCCAACTATCAATATTGTGGTCATCTGCCGGAATGCACCCACGGAAATGGCTCACCAACTCCGTTAACGTCTTGGCTCAAGTTTTCCAAGAAGACAGAGCTTCTCAATTGGAACTTGACTCGGAGCAGTTACCAGCAGTGAAAACGCTTGGAATACTCTGGGAGGCAAAGCAAGGTGAGTTCACCTTCAAGGTTTCAGAGACAGAGGAGCAAGCTATGACCAAACGTCTGTTTCTTCGGAAAATCTCTAAGCTCTTTGACCCACTGGGCTTCCTCACTCCATTTGTGGTGCGAGCCAAAATGCTATTTCAACAGATGTGGCTCGACATGTATGACTGGGATGATCCCCTACCAGCTAATGTGGTTGCAACAGCCCAGCAGTGGTTTCGGGAACTGCCAGCGCTAGCCGCAGTTTGGATTCCGTGGTGCACCCAACAAGCATCATCCAAGTAGGCACTGAAAACACACACTGAGTGCACACACTGAGTACACACACTGAGTACATACACTGAGTACACACACTGAGTACACACACTGAGTACACACACTTTTTGAGAGGACATTCCTTGATGTCCGGGTTTTCAACCCATTTGCCCCCTCAAACCAGAAGTCATCAATCCCGATAGTGTACCACAAGCACGAAAAGGAAAAGAGAAGAAGTTATGAGAGAAGAGTCGTTGAGGTAGAGCACGGATCATTCATCCCGGTCATGCTCAACACCACAGGTGGTCATGGCAAGGCAGCTGGCAATCTCTACGCTCGGATTGCATCCATGTTGGCCGATAAGAGGTCCGAGCCTTTATCGTCATGGCATACATCCGCACTCAACTGTCTTTTGCGCTGGTCAATGCCG